TAGCTTCTTTTAATCCCGCATACATACAAGAGCACTTTTCCACATAATATGTGCGTGAAAGCCTAGCATATAGATGCTTATACAGCATTGCCAAACCGGGTGAAAACCAATGCATTGCATTAGCGTGAGACGGCAACCGGAACCGCAGTTAACGTCTCCTTGCCAAGCTCTTTTCTTGAATAAAGTCCTTTTAACTGACGTGGTAACAAAATTTAGATATACGCAGACAAACCATCACTTCGAATGAAGTATACTTATATCAACAATACAGTTTTAGACACCTTAACACCCACAACAGCTTCTAAATGGAGTCAGATGAAAAGTATTCACTGAGACAAATTTAAAAAAAAATGAGAATAGATATCTTCACAGCGTAAGAGACACTGTCCGATAAAGATAGTTATCAATTCTCACTCTTATTTTTTATCTTGAATGGTAGGATATACTGTCTACATTGATTTGTGATTCGAACTCGCCTTACCGAGAAAGAACTAAAACTTAAAATTTCGCTTGTTAGAAGTCTGTAGTTAATATATTCATGAAGAGTTTGAGTTTAAAAATATATGTATGTATACGTATGTGTGCGTGTGTATGCATATATATGTTTGTATGTACATATATATGTATTTATATGTATATATGTATGCGTATGGTCATATATATAAATACATATATATATGATATTTACACATATACAGTTATGTTTATACATTCATAGATCTATAAGTCCATATATGTATGAATGTATGCATATATATAAGCACATGCTCCCATATGTAAAACATTCCACGGCTGCAGTTAACTTTTACAAATGGCAATAACTACAGGCGGCGGCAAACGTTGCCTCATTAAGTTAGAAGAAATGAGTAAAATCAAAGCCAGGTTAACTTCTAATTGAACTTATTGTATTCAGGTACGATAAGTGAAGGTCCTGAACACTAAATCTATTTTGATTTTATACACTGAAATGAACCCTTTTTGTATTTATGGCTTCAGTGTAAATTTCAGTTTTGCCTTGAAAAACACAAGATAAAAAAAATCTCTATCTTTCCTCTGTCTGTCTACCTATTATTTTTGTTTCCCACTTTGTCCTCTTTTTTTCTCTCCCCATCCCCCTCTCTCTCTATCAATCTTTAACATATGCACCTGAACAGGCTGTATGGGTAATCGGGAATAGTCCTGCATGAAAGATATTGAAGAGGTACAAGCATTTTGGGCTAATGCCATAATTGTTGTTGCTCCTGTTGAGATTATAATGGCACGAGAAGGCTTTTGTTGTGTTGAGGATGAATGCCATTTTTATACACTCTTCTGAGACACAAACGTTGTTTTACAATGTTATATATTCTCTCCTTCGGATGCATAATAGTATGTTGCAAACATGTTTTATGTATCCTGCGTGTAATTGTGTGGACCCAAAAAGTGACTTATCAAGATGAGGGTGAGTATTTAAGGTGTTATATCGTTTTGTAAACTATGGACTGTATGCCTTTAAGTATTGGTGTTCATGCAGAGATATTCTGATGGGATAAATTACCTCCTCTTTTTGAGATACAAATATTTGTCTCAATAAACGTTTATCTCAATAAATAAAATTTAAATCAAAGTCTCTCTCTCCGTCTCTCACATGAATTTCACATGTAAATTAAACATAAACACACAAGCATCTTCGAATATTTCCTTTGATTAGTTAATTGGACGTACAGTGCCCGTTAAAACCAGACCAACGTTTGACTGATTCCGCTGAGAACGTTTTCGTGCTCGCGTCCCACGAAGCCGTCCAGCTGGAGAGCCGCGGAGCAGGTTATGGGAGCTTAACAGGTGTGAGATGAAGTGCTTGACCTTGATCCAGCTTCAACCGCTCCCTCCCCTTTCCACCCCCTAACCCGCCTGCAACTGCCTCACGCGAGTTCCTTCACGGTTCCCGGACCGGTCGTGACGTCACGTTGCAGCCGGTGGGTGGATATATAAGAGCCGAGGCGAGAGAGCAGAGACAGTCTCTTCTGTGGACATAACGCACCATGAAGGTATTGCTTTGGCTTACAGCTTGCAATTGAATATCCAGTGGTTATTTGGTGTTTTTTTCGTAATTATCTAAATGGATACACCTATTTGATTAGTCTTAAGAATAAGGCAATGGATTCACGATATATATATCCCATTCCTACGCAACAGTGAAAAATCTTTATCCACAGTTCCTTCTACTACTCGTCGTGGCATCTGCCGCCTTGGCCAAGCCTCAGTACGGCTACAGTCCCCCTGCCACCTATCGGCCTGCTCCGACCTATGCTCCCGCTCCCTCCTACAGGCCAACCCCCTCTTATCAGGTCCGTTCGTGTTTATGTACGTCTGTTGTTTTCATCTGTAGAATTCATCCAACTATTTTGCAACAGAATATGTTACTTTCATTCCTATACAAGACTGACAAAGCCCTCCTCTCCCCCACAGGCTCCAGCCGAATACGACTTCCAGTATGGCGTCAGGGACTCGTACTCCGGCAACGACTTCGGCCACACCGAAGACCGCGACGGATACAACACAAAGGGATCCTACTACGTGCAGCTCCCCGACGGCCGCCTGCAGAAGGTCACCTACTACGTGAATGGCGACTCAGGCTTCGTAGCCGAGGTCAGCTACGAGGGGCAGGCCCAGTACCCAGCCTACCATGCCGCTCCTTCCTACAGTCCTGCCCCGACCTACACACCCGCCCCTGTCTACGGATAATTTTTCAATAATCTTAACGCAAATGTACAATATACTTGTTTCTATATATTTAAATATATTTATGATGAGCTTTTGAAATTAGTTGAAATTATTCACTTTGTATAATCTTTCTTGCGGCTTATGAACTATATTTTATCACAAAAATAAACTTTTGTGCTTCTGTCACCGCGGAATAACTATGCTGACGAAAACGACATTGTCAGAATCGCTCACTTGATTTTCACACCACATATGCAACTCCGGGTATTTATTCTAATTAGCAAACAGGTTTTTTCGGTGGTTGTTTGAATCAACTTTTCACACACACACACACACATATATATATATATATATATATATATATATATATATATATATATATGCTGCGAAAGTGTATATGTTCAGAAAGGCACATTTTTAGATTTTAAAAAAATCTGTCAGTTAAAACCTTATCACATTATCATTATTATTTTTATATTTTTTATTATAACTATTACTGTTCACTGTTAACATTATCATTATCATTCGTTCGACCACTAATTATGCTATAAATGTTACATTGTATATCATTATATATTAGATAAGATAATCCGGTGTGCGTATGAACCAGGGCGTCATCCACGGACAAAGTTTTATCCTTTTGCACCCACGAGACTGTCCAGCATAAATGACTGTGGAGTAGGATTTGGTAGAGATGAGATGCTTGATCTTGGCTCAGCTTGGACTGCTCGCTCTGACTCATCCGTCTCCTGACTCTCCTCCTACAGGCGAGTTCCTTCGCGGTTCTTGTTGTTGCTCAATTGCAATCCACCCACTGGTTCAACCGCGAAACTGTGACTCAAGTATATAAATGCTACCGCCATCTGTTTATTATGTCCAGAAACAATCGAAAACTTCTAAGTGAAAAAGGTGTATATGTGTGTGTATGTGTTTGTGTATGTGTGTGTGACTGCGTATACAGATTCACAGGAGCGTGCGGGTGTGGGATTTTCAACCAGGAAGACGGCATATTAAATAACACTTTGTGATAATTGGATTAATTACTCATTTACGTGTCCGCCACATCGTGTAAAGTTAAGACCTCAAATGTTGCTGCATATCTTAGAGACGCGTACTGCCGAAAGATCACTTCTTATTCTGACGTTGAAATCACCAAGAAAATTTCAGAGGATCACCAGTTACATGGCTTTGCAATAATAATCCTTTACAAAATCTTGCACATATATAATGACAAAGAGGTTATAAGTGTATACATATATGGATACATATAAATGCATGTGTCTACTTATTTATATAAAGGAATAAATAGACATATATTTACATAAACATGTATATACACAATATATTTACATAGATAGGACATGCTTATGTATGTGCATATATATATTGTTACATTAACTTTAGCCCCTGAGCAGTGACACCCTCTGACCAAGGACAGGGTGGTAACAAATACCCATTCACTAGGAGTATGAGCTTATTCTTAAGCTTAATGTAGGTGTCAAAGAGTTCTTTTAAGTAAAGATATAAGCACGAGCTCATTTCTTATCTCATTTCATTTGAGTAAGTCATCAGTTCATTAATGTCACTCCATAATTCCAGTTTCGTCTTTAATTAGTTTATATTCTAGTATGTTTTTTATCATATATACTTTGAGTTATTCGAAGGTCACAGGTATTGATGCACAATTACCTATTACTATGTAAGGGAGAAGCAGAAAGTCACTATTCATCTATATTTACATTAACCTATATTTACATTAACCACATGTTCTGTAATTAACCATCACCACATCATCGAAAGTATCAAGCACACTCGCCATCATTAACACACTATACTGTGACAAATCGATAAACAGAATGAATATATGTATATGCAGATAATGAAAAACATAGATATGGAACCTATAAAAGGACAAGATAATACATAAGCGAACCACAGCCGGCTCCTCCCGACCATCGACCAGCGCTCGTCCGCTCGTTCCCTCAGACGTCTAAATGTGTTATGAGCTCCTTCCCCGTTATTCACCATACAATGGAGAAGGGTCGAACCAGGTACTGTGAACTGTGAATGTGAATCTGAACCCGACTAAGTGTACACTATTCGAACACCAATCCCCTAAAGCTACGTCTTGCAAAGTAAAAAAGTTCATAATCGGGTGAGGAGACTAGCGCAGGTCGATGCTCAGGAAACGAAGTTATCATCCCCAGCATTATCACAATATATACATATATACATGTACATATATGTATATATACATACACACACATATATATTCACATAAACGCGCACACATACAC